AGAAGCAAATGATCAGACCTAGTGTATCTCCGTGGGGAGCACCAGTGTTGTTGGTAAAGAAGAAGGATGGTGGCGTGAGGTTATGTGTGGATTACAGACAGTTAAATAAATTGACAATAAAGAATAAATATCCATTGCCAAGGATAGATGATTTGATGGATCAATTGAGGGGAGCTTCCACAGACTGATGGGAAGTCTGGCAGGACTATCCAATCTTTGGAGGACTTGTTGAGGGCTTGTATTTTGGATCATCTAGGTAGTTGGGAAGAAATGTTACCTTTGGTCGAGTTCACTTATAATAACAGTTTCTATGCAAGTATAGGAATGAAACCATTTGAGGCTCTCTATGGGAGGAAGTGTCGAACACCTTTGTGTTGGTTTAAAGAGGGAGAATCAATGATGGTGGGGCCAGAGATCATCTTAGAGACTACTGAAAAGGTGAAACAAATTCAGGAAAGAATGAGAGTTGCTCAGAGTCGAGAAAAGTATTATGCAGACAAGAGAAGAAAACCTTTGGAGTTTTCAGAGGGAGAACATGTGTTTTTGAAGGTAACTCCTACCACAGGTGTGGGAAGAGCTATCAAAGCTAAGAAGTTGAATCCTAAGTTTATTAGGCCGTACCAAATTCTCAAGAGGATTGGACCATTGGCATATCAGATTGCATTACCTCCATTCCTGTCTAATCTACATGATGTGTTCCATGTTTCACAACTGAGGAAGTATATTCACGATCCGAGTCATGTCTTGGAATCAGTGGCAGTGCAAATTAAGGAGAATTTAACTTTTGAGAAACAGCCAGTTTCAGTGGTAGATAAGAAAGTTAAACAGTTGCGGGGTAAATCTATCAATTTGGTAAAGGTTATTTGGGATGCGGATACTAATGAAGCTACTTGGGAGTTGGAAGACAGAATGAAGGATCAATATCCATATCTCCTTTTAAGTAAGTGAATTTTCGAGGACGAAAATTTTTGTTGTTGGAGAGAATTGTAATACCCATTTTTTTATTATTTATTTATCAATGGCATTTTCATAATTTTTTAGAGGTAGAGGGTATTTTGGTAACTTGAAATGGGCTGTTCCAAAAGCAGAACGGGCCGTTCCAAGCACAAAAAATGAACTAAATTTAAAGATTGAGAACGGGCCCAGAACGGGCCGTTCTAAAAGGAGAACGGGCCGTTCTAATTTTGGAACGGGCCGTTCTAATTTTGGAACGGGCCGTTCTGGAGGGAGAACAGGCCGTTCTGGAGGGAGAACGGGCCGTTCTGGAGGGAGTACGGGCCGTTCTAGATGGGTCCAGAACGGGCCATTCTGGTTTCGGAACGGGCCGTTCCAGTTCTAAAATTTACGTAGATTTTTTGGGTTTAGAACGGGCGTTCCGCTTTTTGGAACGGGCCGTTCCGAGTTAGGCAGGCAGAACTCTATAAATAGGGGCCTTGGGGTGTTGGAAATGCATGCCTTGAGAGAGAAGAATTCCTAGAGAGAGAAAGGGAGAGGAGGGGAAAGAAAAGAGGAAAGAGAGGAAGAGGAATCCAGTAGAGGAGGCTCTACCAGGGGAGAGAAAAGAGGAGAGAGAAGAGGAGGTTCTGCCCAAGTTTCAGTTCAGGTTTATCCAAGTAAGGGTAGTGCTTATAAAATTAATCTAGTACATATGAGCATGATAGGAATAGTATAATTTTAATATGCTATTTTATGTGGAGATTTTCATTTCACATAGTATAATTTGCATCAATTTATGGTTGTTTTGGATATTTAATTATTTATATTATTATTATATTGACAATTTGGCATGGTTATGGTTATGTTTAAATATAATTGTGGAATATGCTATGTGTATGTGATTTGAAAAGTAAATAGGACTTAGAGGAGTAAGGTTATGGTATGGATTGGGAGATCTCTTGGTGAGATCAGGATATAATCTTTAGAAAAATATGGAATTTGGGAATCCCATGGTGAGGATTCCAATATGGAACTTTTCCAAGGATTATATAATAAACCACTTCAGATGTTAGGTGGATTCTGAAGTACTCCTCTAAGTATTCTATTTGCTATCGGTATGGGTCTAGGCCGAGTCATACCGATGGATGAGGTGGCCCCACCAGGGTTACGTGACGACGTAATCCTCCATGAGAGGTTAGGCGTGAGACATGGGTTGATGACATGTTTCACCGTATCAACACTTGGTTTGGATGGTGTTGAGGCCAACATTTGGTTTGGATGTGTTAGTTACATCATGGATTATATAGTGGTGTGACTTTGTTTTGGATGTGGAATATGTACTGTGGATAAATATCTGTTTAATGATATTTTATTATGTTGTACTATGATTGATTTTATATTGTAGACACCCAATTTCGTCCGGGGGGCACACAAACAAGAAAATGGACCTACATCATGAAGGAAAGGAGCTCCCGAAGCAGGCAAATAACAAGACACGATATCAGAAGGCCTAAAGGTCAAAAAAGGTTGTTTTAGTAGCCCGGAACGGGCAGTTCCAGAATCGGAACAGGCCGTTCCAAACCTCGGAATGGGCCGTTCCAATATCAGAATGGGTCATTCCAACGTGTCTAAAACACCTAAAAATGCAATACCAGAACGGGCCGTTCCAATATCGGAATGGGCCGTTCCAAAACCAGAACGGGCCGTTCCAATACCGGAACGGGCCGTTCCGTTTTTAGAACGGGCCGTTCCAGGGGGCTGAACTTAAACATAATGTTTAGATCCGGAACGGGCCGTTCCGAATCCAGAACGGGCCGTTCCGGCCCACATCTGATGCCTATAAATTGAAGCCTCGGGCACAGTTCTCTGGGCGGCCAGAGAAATTTTGAATAAGACTCCTTTGAGCACGAAAGTTCTCTATCTCTCTCTCTTCTATTGTCTTTCTTGAGATTTGTGTTGCATCTCTTTTTTCTCTCTCCTTTCTATTGTATTTCTTGAGATCTGTGAGGCATATTGTAGTGTGAAAGGTCGCCACAAAGCACCTTTTTCATATTTGAAGATTCAATAGAGCTCGTTCAAGAGGTATTTTAATCAATCTTTTTCTCTCTATTTTATTTTGTTATCCTTGATAAATATTGTTATATTTAAAAGCAATCATGTAGACATTTTTGAGTTAATTGTATAATTTAAATTTCAAGCATGTAAATAAATATATTAATAAAGGGGATTAAATATTTAGATTATTAATTC